CATTGAGAATTTACCTGACCAACTGTAGGACTAATTTTCAACATGATAGCAAAGGTTTCTGAAGTGTTTTGGAAATAATGGGTAGAAGTAAAGATGTAGTTGGTACTGCATATTACTTCTTGTTCGGCTTCTGAGCCTAATTCCTTCCATCCTCACTTATTTAACACTGACAATGTGCCTAGGCAATGGAGATACATGATATATGAAAATCCCTGCCTTTGTGAAGCCAACATTCTAGAGGGGGAGACTGACAAAACAAATTGTAACTTCTATGAAGAGGCTGTGGGTACTATGGAGGGCAAAACATGGAAGGAGATAGGATTTGCAGGATGGGGTGGAGAAATGTGGGTTGCAATAAGTTAAGATTATACTGATACAGTGACATTTGAGCAAAGTTTTGATGGAGATGAGGGAGGGAACTGTGTTGACATCTGGAGAAAGCTTTCCAGTTAGAACAGCAAGTGCAAAGGTCCTGAGGCAGAGGGAGCATGCTTGGCAAGTTCAGGGCACAGCAAGAAAGGCAGTGTGACTGGAACAATGTGATCAATCTTACCCTATTGGGTTGCTGTAACAAAATGTCATGAACTGAGTGGCTTTTAAACAACCGAAATTTATTTCTCACAGTTCTGAAGGGTGGGAAGTCCCAGATCTAAGCAGATTCGGTGTCTGGTAAGGGCCTGCTTTCTGGATTACAGACTGCACCTTCTTGCTGGCCCTGACATGGTGAAAGGGTCAAGGGGTCTCTCCCAGGCCCCTTTTATAAGGGTGCTAATGCCAGTCATAAGGGTTCCACCTTCATGACTGGATCACCTCCCAAAGGCCCTGTCTCCTAATACCATCAACCTAGGGGTTAGGATTTCAACATATGAATTTAGTAGGGAAGGGATACAAATATTTAGACCATAGCAGAGAGTAAGAGCAGATGAGAAGAGAAAGAAGGGTGGAAGGTGGGCCTTATAGGCTATATGAGGACTTTGGCTTTTTCCCTAAGACAGTTGAGGAAACATTTGGAAGCATTTTTTGCCTTTCCTTTTTAAATTTGTTTCTTTTTTACTTTTATAGGTTTAGGGGCATAAGTGCAGTTGTGTTATTTAGATACATCGTGCAATGAAGTCTGGGCTTTTAATGTACCCATTACCCAAATAGTTTACATTGTACTCCATTGGTAGCATCTCATCCCTTACCTCCTTCCACACTCCTATCTTTTGAAATCTCCAATGTTGATTATTCCACTGTGTGTCCATGTGTAACCATTTTTTAGCTCCCACCTATATGTGAGAACCTGCAGTTTTGACTTTCTGTTTCTAAGTCATTTCATTTAGGATAATGACCTCCAGGTCTATCCATGTTGCTGTAAGAAACATGATTTCACTTTTTTTATGGCTGAGTAGTATTCCATATATACCGCATTTTAAAGAAATCTATTCATCCATCAATGGACATTTATGTTGATTCTTATTATGAATAATGCTGTGATAAACATGAGTGCAAATGTCTTTTTGAAGTGATTATTTCTTTTCCTTTGGGTAAACCAATAGTGGGATTGCTGGATCAAATGGTAGTTCTACTTTTAGTTTTTTGAGAAATCTCCATACTCTTTCCCATGGAGGTTGTACTAATTAACATTCCCACCATCAGTGTATAGGCATCCCTTTTTCTCCACATCCTCACCAACATCAGTTTTTGTTTTTTTGCTTTTCAATAATGGCCATTCTGACTGGCATAAGATGGTATTTTATTGTGCTTTAGAGAATTTTGAACAGAAAAGGGATGTGATCTGATCTGTGTTGAAAAAGAAAACTCTGGCTTCTGTCCTGAGAATGAACAATATGGAGGCAAGTTAGAAGTTTATTACAATAATCCAGGTGAGGCATTAAGAGGCCCTGGAACAGGGTGGTGTATAGGAGAGTGATGTGGAATGGCTGAATTCTGGATATATTTTTGAAAGTGGAGACCAGAGAGTTTCCTGAGTGATTGCATATAGGTTGTGAGAGCAAGAAAGGAAGGGATGTTGACTTGGATTCCCAAAGACTGCTCTTCTTGATGTGTAGTTGAGGCTCTCTTTGTACTACTCTGTGTTTAAGTGACCTGGCAGACTAATCTCTCTATCCCTCCTCCTGTAAAACACAGACTGATGCAAAAGACACTTGACTTTCATGGCCAAGAGGCTCCTCTGTAGAACACCCCTCTATCACTACCTCCAACTCCTGTTCCCATCAAATGAGTACAATTCATGTGCCAAAAATTGTTGACTGGGTGCAGTGGCAGCACTTTGGGAGGCCAAGGCGGGCAAATCATGAGGTCAGGAGTTCGAGACCAGCCTGGCCAATATGGTGAAACCCCGTCTCTACTAAAAATACAAAAAATTAGCTGGGCATAGTGGCAGGCGCCTATAATCCCAGCTACTCGGGAGGCTGAGGCAGGAGAATTGCTTGAACCTGGGAGGTGCAGGTTGCAGTGAGCCAAAATCGCATCACTGCACTCCAGCCCAGGAGACAGAGTGAGACTCCGTCTCAAAAAAAAAAAAAAAAAAAAAAAAAAAAAAAAAAAAAAAAATTGTTTACTTCTTTCCACAACTCTATATTCCAATTTTATTTCTAATAATTAAATTAATATAATGTAAAGTAATGGAGTGTGGGTTTGAAAACAAAGAATTGGAGGCTTTGGTAAGTGTGGGTAAAGGTGAACCAAAAAATTAGTTGATAAGAAAACTGTGGCCGGGTGCGGTGGCTCATGCCTATAATCCCAGCACTTTGGGAGGCCAAGGTGGATGGATCACCTGAGGTCGGGAGTTTGAGACCAGACTGGCCAACATGGCGAAACCCCGTCACTACAAAAAATACAAAAATTAGCCGGGCGTGATGGTAGCTGCCTGTAATCTCAGCTACGCAGGAGGCTGAGGCAGGAGAATCACTTGAACCTGGGAGGTGGAGGTTGCAGTGAGCCAAGATCACGCCATTGCATTCAAGCCTGGGTGACAGAGCAAGACTCCATCTCAAAAACAAACACACACCACTGTGATATTTTTAAGTTCTTCCTCTACAGAAATTAAAACTAGAAATTATACTTACCTGGTTGTGGCTTCCGCAAGACAAACAATGCAGACCCATCAGAGACACATGCTTAAAGAAAGCATTTTGGCTTTTCTGCAAAGATTGGCGGTGAATATACATTATAGATGTTCACAGAATATAATGATTCCCTCTTCCATCCAGCTTTTTCCCCTTCCAATTGAGAAATTTGAGCCCCAGGAGTTCGAGACCAGCCTGGGAAGCATGGCAAAACCCCATCTCTACTAAAATACAAAAATTAGTCAGGCATGGTGGCATGCACCTATAGTCCCAGCTACTTGGGAGGCTGAGGTGGGAGGATTGCTTGAGCCCAGGAGGTCGAAGCTGCAGTGAGCCATGATCATTCCACTGCACTCCAGCCTGGGTGACAGTGTGAGACCCTATCTCAAAAAAAAAAAAGAAAAAAAAAGGGAAAAGAAATCAGTACATTAAAGCGATACCTTCTCTCCCATGTTCATTTTGACATTATTGACAATAGCCAAGATATGAAAGTAACCAAGATATGGATAAAGAAAATGTGGTATAAATATGTATACACAATGGATACTATTCTGCCATAAAAAAGGAAATCCTGTCATTTGGATGATGCTGAAGGACACTGATAAGTAAAATAAGCCAGGCACAGAAAGACAAATACCACTTACATGTGCCTCACTTACACATGGAAACTGAAAAAGTCAAACTCACAGAAGCAGGGAGTAGAATGGTGGTTATCGGGGCTGGAGTGTTTGGGAGATGTTGGTCACAGGATAGAAAATTTCAGTTACACAGGAAGAATAAGTTCAAATGGTCTATCCTATAACGTGGTGACTATAGTTAATAACAACGTATTGTTTAACCAAAAATTGCTAACAGATTTTAAGTGTTCTCACTACACACACATACACACATACAAATGTGAGGTAATGTTAGATTTAGCCATTCTGCAATGTATACATATTTCGAAGTATCATATCATATGACATATGACAATTTTAAGTGTAAGGACATTAGAAAAAAAGATTGTTATTTTCATGCATTTGTAAATAGAGGCTCTGCAGAAACATCCTTTGGCCCCCAGGGGGCGCAGGGCAGAATGAAGTCAGAGCTGAGGATTTGATCCCTGCAGTTGGCGCGATCTGGTTACCAGGGCTGCCACAGAGAATACAGAAAAAGTAGTTTATGTCCACTTCAGAGAACATTCACTGTGGGATACTGGTAGACAAGGGTTGTATGTATCTAAAGTCCACCTCTGGTTTTTGGTAAAGTGTAGTAAATATGCAAAAACTGCAGAAACCTCTACCCATCGTACCCTTCTGCTTGTGTGTCTATATGTCTCTCTTTCTGTTTATCTTTCACTGTGTGTGTGTGTCCCTGTCTCTCCCTCCCTGTCTCTGCAAAGGGGGAGCCCACAGTGTTCCAGGCTTTACTTCCTATAAGAAACACAAGAATGCTGTTGAAAGTATATAAACTTGGCTAACTTATGCAAATTCACAGTTCTGAATGTTCTGCCAACAGGCTAAAATTGCAGATTTTTCCCTTCTAGTGGAAACAAAACTCAAGCAAACCCCTCCTGTATTCTCCTTTATATTTCAGAGAAATTTCTATTGCTTAGCTGTTTAGCATAGTTTTACTAATTGAACAGGATTTTTTCCCTCAGTTTTGTTTGTTTGTTTTTTTGAGACAGTCTTGCTTTGTCAGCAGGCTGGAGTACAGTGGCACAATCTTGGCTCACTGCAACCTCTGCCTCCCGGGTTCAAGTTATTCTCTTGCCTCAACCTCCCGAGTAGCTGGGACTACAGGCGCATGCCACCAAGCCCAGCTAATTTTTGTATTTTTAGTAGAGATGGGGTTTCACCGTGTTGGCCAGGATGGTCTTGATTTCTTGACCTCGTGATCCACCCGCCTTGGCCTCCCCAAGTCCTGGGATTACAAGTGTGAGCCACTGCACCTGGCCAATATTTTACTGAAGTGTTTCAAGCACTAACAGCACAATATTCACTGTAAGAATTTCATACACCAATATAATTACTGCATGAATGTCATTTATTGAAATTAACATTATTATGAATACATAATGGAAAAATGCTCCTCAAAAGAGGAAAGTGAATGTTAACCAGCAACAGGACAAAGCCATCCTCAGAAGACAGAGATAATCGGAAACAGTTTCACAGTTCAGTTTATGTATGTACACCGGGGTTAGAGTTCCTCTATGTCTGCGTCTCTGCAGATGCCAGGTTTTGGACCAGGAGGCTCAGGAATGTCTCCAGCCGCTTCCTGGATCTGTATGCAATGAGTCCTCCCTTGTTGGCCCACCGATCCACCCCAGCAGCACCCTCATTTTCCACGTGGTACACCAACTGTGGCAAATCAAGCCCTGTTTCTGGATTTCTTTCTAAGCATTCTTTCAAGTCTACTATTCCCCCACCCATGGCCCGCAGTATGGCATGAGCAGCACAAGAGTCCCACTTGAACGTGGTATCTTCTGAAAAGATGTAAATGTCAACGAGGCCTTGGACAACACAAAGGCTCTTATAACCAGCCCCAGCTGCCCCGAATATGCGATCTCCACATACACGTGACAATGCAGCTTTGATAGTCTCCTTTTCACTTGTACTAATGACGGCTGAAAAACTGGGGGAGAATGCTGCCTCGGAGCCTGTGTTTCCAGCGTGTATTTCACTGCCACTCCTTCTAGAGATGGTGAGCTGAAGTGAATGCATGTTCGTCCCCATGTAAGAAAGGCCCCAATAGCACTGTCCTTTCCACCTGTGGAAGAAAAATTTCAATTGGTGATAATTATCACATTTGTTTTTCATTACTAATGTCACTTGCAAATTTAATGATATGAAGAAATACACAATTCATCATAACATGGTGAATCTTAACACCTTTAAGCCTAGGAATAGATATCAGGTAGCTAGTTTATTTCCGAAAGTTACTTATATGCGTGCAGCTGCCTGAGTTGTTGCAATTAGAAATGCTTTCAATTTTATGACATTATCACATCAATCTAGGACAACACTAAAACATTTATGGGGTTTCCAGCTTCCAGAACCATTGCAAAATTTCATTACAACTTTTAGTATTTAAAGTTTAATAGGGAAAAAGGAATAGATAAGTGATATCTCTTTTCAATCTGCAAGCATTGTACAATCCTTATAACAAGGTTTTCTTTATTTGGTAACTCCTTTTCATTCTCTTATTCACTAGTTTCACTTTGGCTTCCAACACAAAGAAAGATGGACTCAATGTTATTAGTTTTGACAACCACAATAATTATAGCACCTTCCCTTTATCAATGCTTAACTTACTGTCTGTGTTGTTACATATTTACAGATAAGGAAACAGGCTTAGAGAAAGTAAGTAACTTGCTGAGGCCCACTCAGCTAGAAAGTGGTAGAATCTGCATTCAAACCCACAAAGTCTCACTCTGAATCTGTGCCACAAACTATTTTGTTGACCACCTCCGTTACTAGGCCATGATTATGTCTGCATATTATTCCAATTCTTTTCAATTTCTTATTAACCTTTTAAAGATAGCAGAAACCCATTTTTAGTTTGGAAGATGGCGGGGGCAGGGGGAAAATATTAAAACTTAAGAGGTATAAACTTATGACTATTAAAGAGCAAATGATTGTTACTTGAAGCAACTCAAGGTTCAATAAAAACATGTAATCCTATATAAGTGAAAAAATATGACCTATTTCAATAAAAAGCTGAAGCTGCTTGTTCCACCTAGACTTTGCCATGCCCTGCTGGGTCCTGGCTGCTTTCTACACTCTGTTTAAGAGTACATGGAAGGGTGGGAGGAGGCAGAAAGGGAGTGTGAGTTAGGTTCTGATCCTGGCCATGCCTACCAATCTTTTCACAGGATAATTTTCACATTTTGTTTTGAACTTCTAAAATTATACCAAAGTTCAACTGGCTATACAGAGATGGCAGCTGTCTTATTCCCAATGTATTGGAAGGCAGTGTTACCACTTTACTAATCTGATTTTGAGTGGATTCTAGAAACAGGGAACAGGATTACTATATTCCAAATGTAAAACTATGATTTCTCCAAGATAGTATTAATTTTAAAATTTCTACCAGCATGTACTTGGCCTCAAATAAAATTATGCAAATCTAAGATTGAAAATAGAACTTTAATTCAAATATGCAGACTTTCAATGTGAACACTCCTATGTGTTAAGTCATGGGAATGTCATATAGTGATAATCCTAACAATAAGCAAAGCTGAGGTCACAAGTTCTAACAACTATAATATACCAAAAATATTTGCCTGTTACCTGAGGGTGTTTGGGTCTCGTGACACAAAAGGTTGATTGATGACTCCCATCAGGGGAACCCCTGTCTGTATGTCATAGACACCAATTAAAATGGTGACACACTGAAGTCCACAGGGGAAGATTCCCTGGTTGGATTTAATGTCAGCAGAACCTTTTATATACTGATAAGTTGAATCTGAAAAAGGAAGCAAATGTGTTTGGATTCAGGTAAAGATTATTTAGAAGACTCTGTTCCATATCATTTCTCTCTTCTACTGATTTGGTAAGCAATAATTTTTTACCTTTGGATGTCACTGTATTGAATTGTTATTTGGCCTCTTGTACTTCTAAATTGCTTGTGTTTCATTTTTCCTGACTATGTGAGAACTCTTGAAGGGAGAGGATGTGTCTATAGTTCCTGTGGCATAGCGACTTGCATATAACAGGCATTCAAATATTTGTTCCTTATCAAAAGCATTTAAAAAGTAATAACCAGAATAATTGGTGGGATTATTTTAGAAATACTACTAATCAGAGGACTAGTACAATGTGAGATGGAAAAGCCTCCTTCCCATGGGTGAAAAAAAAAAAGACCTACTATTTGATAGCACAATAGAGTAACTACAATCAATAAGAACTTAATTGTACATTTTAAAATAAAGAGTGTAACTAGATTGTTTATTACTCAAAGGATAAATGCTCAAAGGGATGGATACCCTATTCTCTGCGATGTGCTTATCTCACACTGCGCGCCTGTGTCAAAACATCTCATGTACCCCAGAAATGCATACACTATTATGTACCACAAAAATGTTAAAAAGAAAAAGAAAAAAAGAAAAGCCCCCTTCCCGTAATCGGTCATAGGTAAAATTATCTTTTACTATTATTATTTGGTCCCTCAAGTTAGAAGGAAGAAAGAGACAATCAATGATGGTGGCACCAAAAAAAGAAAGTAACGGTGCTCCTATGAAACAGAGGCAGAGAAACTAGGTTTCCTCTTAAGAGATGTGCATGCCAGCAGCTGACTGCCGATGTCTAGGGAGTTAGCACACGGCTAAGGATGTGCCTGGCAAAAGATTTTCAAAGAGCTCGAAAACAGAATCAGTTCAGGGCAGAACCAACAAACAGAAGATCTCTGTCCCTCAGAAACTATAACTGATGACAATTTACCCTTAAATGATCAAAGATTTGGGGAAAGGTTTTTAGTTTCCATATATTATCCACTGGCTGAATGTGATATAATTATCTGAAGATTAAACCTATTTCAATATCATCCTGTGAATACACTTGTAGGATGGGAAGGGCCCAGGGAGGAGTTTGCCTGCTCCTTGAATGGTCCTATTGTGTTGGGTGGGGCAGAAGAAAAAGGAAGGGGGGGCTTATTAAAATTATTACCTAGAACTTTGTATTAATAGCATCATTGAAAATAAAGGCTGGCTGGGCGTGGTGGGTCATGCCTGTAATCCTAGCACTTTAGGAGGCCAAGGCGGGCAGATCGCTTGAACCCAGGAGTTTGAGACCAGCCTGGGCAACATGGTAAAAACCCCTTCTCTAAAAACAATATAAAAAATTAGCCTAGTGAGGTGGCATGCACCTGTGCTGCCTACTTGGGTCCCAGCTGGAGGATCGCTTGAGCTCAGGAGGACAAGGCTGCAATGAGTTCTGACTGTGCCACTGCACTCCAGCCTGTGTGCAACAAGAGACTCAGTCTCCAAAAAAAAAAAAAAAAAAAAAAAAAGAAGGGTAGAAGGGTTACACTTTGGAAACAATGGATTATATATTACGGTTCTATCACAATCATGACCAAAATAATGTAGAGCTTATACAGGGCTCACAAACTGCTCATGCGTCACATTAAGCTTTTTGCTTGACCTGTACAGTGCTTTTTTGATTGTTTGCTTGTTTAACTGAATTAGTAGCTAATGGTTAGGAATTGGGATATATCGCTGAAAACCTTGGATCTTGGTTTCTCTTTAAAAATCTGAAGAGCTGGCCTGGACTCCCATATGGCAACAATCTGCTAAAGCTAAGTGCTCTTTAAATGGCATGTGTGCTCAATTGGTCATAACTGCTCTCACTTCATCCTCTCATTTACTTACCAGTCTTTTGAAGATAAGTTAGTTCATCTTGGCATGTGTGCCTGTATGTGTGTACCTGTTATAGATATGTGTATATAGACACACAGCTATAATATATATGTATTTATACAGAACACATGACACATACACCTCAACTCTCATTGTTTTAAAACTTTAAATTTTTAAAAACTTCTAGGAGAGTTAAACTACACTCAATAATTTTTATTTTTCCAACCCCCCCCCACTGCCACCACCAAAAAAGATTGTAAATAACAAACATACTCTCCTATACTTACCTATGGGATCCACCCAAATTCCCAAAATGTCCTGTGGAACATTGATCTCCGTGGAATCCAGAGTTGGGTCAGTAAAGGCAACATCCTGATGAACAACCCTGGCTAATGCTTCAGATGCCACCTTGTTACCATTGAGGACTTTGCTAAGAAGCTCTGCTGTTTCTTCCTCTGTTGAACACAACCTCAAGGTAATCTTTTCCCCTAGGGTAAAGCCACACGATAAACCATTACATTTCAAGAGTTTCAGTGGAGAAAGAACAGAGAGAGACAGAGCATAAGAGTGAGAGAGACAGAGAGAGCGAAAGAGTGAAAGAGACAGAGAGAGACACACACAGAGAGTGAGAGCGAGAGAGTGAGAGAGACAGAGAGCGAGAGAGACAGAGAGAGAGAGACAGTGAAAGCGAGAGATAGCGACAGCAAGAGAGACAGAGAGAGTGAGACAGAAAGCAAGAGAGACAGAGAGCAAGAGAGACAGACAGCAAGAGAGACAGAGCGAGAGAGAGAGAGAGCGAAAGAGACAGCGAGCAAGAGAGAGACAGAACAAGAGAGAGCAAGAGAGTGAAAGAGACACAGAGTGAGAGACAGAGAGACAGCAAGAGAGACAGAGACAGACAGAGAGCGAGCAAGAGAGACAGAGCGAGAGAGCGAGCGACAGCAAGAGAGTGAAAGAGAGTGAGACACAGAGAGAGAAGAGACAGAGAGATAGTGAGAGACACAGAGAGAGAAAAAGAGACAGAGCGAGAGAGAGAGCGAAAGAGTGAGAGAGAGCGAGACAGAGAGCAAGACAGGGAGAGTGAGAAAGCAAGCAAAAGAGACAGAGAGTGAGCCAGCGAGAGAGTGAATCAAAAGCTGTACACAGATTAAGTGAGGGCGATATATCCATCCCAGCAGTTCCTAAGCCTGGCTGACTGCCAGAATCACCTGGCGGGGCTTCATCAAGGCAGATGCCCAGTGGCTACCCACACACTTAACCTGAATAGTAAGGGATGGGTTTCAGGAAATCAAAAGACCTCCCTAAAAAATGCCCATGTGGGCACAATTTTGTATCCCAGTTAAGGGACACATTGTCAGTTAATAATTCCTGAATTCCTGATCATTAATCTTTTTAAAATTTGTCTTTTGATTTTTCATATACTTAAGTCACCCTGTCTATGTCTGAATATGTTATTGAAAAGAATGGAGGTTTTTCAGCACACCAAAGTGCTTCTACCTCTTTATAGATACTGCTTTTAACTTAAAATTGTTTAAGCTAAGTAACATAAAATGGTATATACTAATCTTTAAATGTAGTAAAACTTTATGCCTCTAAATGGTATACATATAAATAGCTCTCCTCTGTGGGGCCCATTGAGAACCAGAACATAAGCAAAGCTGCTGCTTCAAATGATAAGTTACTGAGGCCAGGTGCTTTACCATCACTTTAAACATGCTTCTTAGACCCTTGATTAATCTGGTTTCAGCCCTTGACAGAAGTGAGGGAAGAGGCTGGTAAAAAATAGGCAAGTTAATAGCAACAAGAGGTGACAGCAGTGGAGGAAAAAAAAATCTTAAAAAATAAGAAAACATGGCACTTCGGAACGTTTTAGATACTCCTGCTATCTAGTAGCTATCTAGGTAGCTACTTCTACCCTTCTTATTCCAAGGGCCAGCAGTGTTTCTATCAGCTGCGAGCTTATTAGAAAGTCAGAACTTGAGGCCGGGCGTGGTGGTTCATGCCTATAATCCCAGCGCTTTAGGAGGCCGAGGTAAGCAAATCACTTGAGGTCAGGAATTCCAGACCACCCTGGTCAACATAGTGAAACCCCTGTCCCTAATAAAAGTTTAAAAAACTTAGCTAGGCATGGTGGCACACGTCTGTAATCCCAGCTACTTGGGAGGCTGAGGCAGGAGAATCGCTTGAATTTGGGAGGCGGAGGCTGCAGTGAGCCAAGATTGTGCCACTGCGCTCCAGCCTGGGTAACAGAAGGAGACTCCATCAACAACAACAACAAAAAAAATCAGAACCTCAGACGCCACCCCAGACCTACTGATTTTTGTTTGTTTGTTTGTTTTTTGTTTTTGTTTTTGTTTTTGAGACGGAGTCTCACTCTGTAGCCCAGGCTGGAGTGCAGTGGCCGGATCTCGGCTCACTGCAAGCTCCGCCTTCCGGGTTCACGCCATTCTCCTGCCTCAGCCTCCGAGTAGCTGGGATTACAGGCCCCCGCCACCACACCCGGATACTTTTTTTTGTATTTTTTCAGTAGAGACGGGGTTTCACCGTATTAGCCAGGATGGTCTCGATCTCCTGATCTCGTGATCTGCCCGCCTCGGCCTCCCAAAGTGCTGGGATTACAGGCGTGAGCCACCGAGCCTGGCCGACCTACTGAATTTTAACAAGATCCTGAGGCGATTACATGACCAGTTAAGTATGGGGAGCACAATCGACATGTATTACAGTGATGACTGAATCAGCAAGAAATAGTCAAGTTTAGTTAAATTAACTTAATTCAAAGTAAATTAGACTGTTCAAGTTGGGGAATAGTAAAACTAATAACGGCTTCTTACTGCACACCTACTCTGGGCTGGGAAAAACTTATGGGATCATTCAAAGGAACAAATTATATTACTCCTTTTGTTGAAATTTGCCAGAGACCTCTCATCCCACTGAGAGGGAAATCTAAATCCCCTCCTATGATCTGGTCTTGCCTGCAATATCATCATCACCATCTCTCCTCTCCCCTCTCCACATTTCTCTGCCCTTTTAACAAACAGGAAAATGGATATGGCTATGCCTTTTCCCCCTATAATTCTAGACAAATGATGTATTAAAAAAACTGTGCAGTAGTCAAGTGTAGATTTTTAAATGTAAGATTGCTTGTAAGTCAGGTGTAAGTGTTATTTTTAACCTTCAGAGGTTTAAATGGTATTTCTTTCCCTTCTTACTAACATAGAACTAACTACATCTTAATATATGGTGCATGAAGGAGACTAAACAATTTTCAGAGTTAATCTAGAATTCATTTTTTCTTTGTAATTGTGTTTCTAGATATTTAAGTATTTGTCACACGATCAGTGTTTAATGTTCACTATTTTATTCTTCTACTATTAAACAAATCCAAACAAACTAAAAAAAAAAAAAAAAAAAGGAAAAAAGCTAAAAGTAATCAGATTACCTGAGGTCAGGAGTTTGAGACCAGCCTGGCCAACACTGTGAAATCTCATCTCTAACTAAAAATACAAAAATTAGCCGGGTGTGGTGGCACACGCCTGTAATCCCAGCCACTTGGGAGGACGAGGCAGGAGAATCCCTTGAACCCAGGAAGTGGAGGTTGCAGTGAGCTGAGATTGTGTCACTGCACTGCAGCCTGGACAGCAGAGCAACTCTGTCTCAAAAACAAACAAACAAACCAAAAAACTTAGTACTAAAAGGAAGCTTTTAGTTAGTCCACGTACTTCACAGAGGTTCTGAGACAGAAATGATGAGGTGATTTGCTCAAGATCACACAGTAAGTATTTCAGAGCCATGGCCTCCTCTGAACTTTTAGCTGAGGTCCATGGACTTCCCCAAGAGTGCACAGATGGGTTTAAACCTAGGATCTGAAATTGTCTGCACAATTGTGTAGATGGGCATCTTTGGGGCTTTGATAACTTACATTAGATTCCCAAAGGGCCATGCGATTTTCCCAAAGCTTGAGTTATAAGTTACTTAAATGCCACAGATTTATATCTAAAATGATACATGGACTTGCTAAATTATTCTAAGATACCATATCTCTCTACTTAAGTTAAATGGCATGACATTCTGAGGTAGAAATTTAATGAACCTTAACATTCAAATATATTATGTTGTTTACAGTAAGTGGCTTCCAAACATTTAGTTCATGGTATAAATTAGAGATTAGAATACCATGTGATAATTAAATTACAAAGACACATTAAGATTCTTATACTTACCCAAATCATTAGTAAACTCATTGGATTCTTCTCCAAAAATATGTTTTTCCAAGCCTGGAAACTGAATGATTCAGAATATGATGAAAAATAAAACAAAAACCCATATACATGTTCAATTCTGAACAGATTTCAATGTTATATTTCAAATTAAATAGCACAATCAGAACTGAAATTCCAAAATTTCCAATTCTAGAAACCAATCCAAGTATAAAAAAACGAAGTCAGCTTGGCTCAGTGCTTAATTTTCTAATATTTTTCTGCCCTTTTGCCCCTCTAGAAAGTCAAAATCATGGTAGATGCCTGGTTCCCTTATGTTCTGTTTAGTTTGCAAAAGTACTTCTAGAAACTTCATCCTTCTACTTAAGAGCCATAGAATTCGAATATTTACAAAGGACATGTTTTAACTCTTGCTCTTAAACAGCATCCTAGTAGCTTATACAAGGTAATTTTGTTGATCAAGTATCTAAAAGCATGACTTGAGACTGGATAGAAGGAGTTAGAGGATAACATTCAATTTTGTTTTCATTTCCAGGCGTTTGTTTCCCTACTCTCAGATGTATCATCATTCAGGCTAGGAAGGGGATATGAAAAAAAAGAAAGATTTTATTGACCAATAATTTAAGCATCAATATATAGAGTGAATAAATGGAGTCAAGTAAGGATCTTCTGTCATCTCTGTATGATCACGAAGCTTTCTGATACATTTTGCTTCTAATCCTTTCTGTAGTAAAGATAATTTTTCTCAAAATGTGTGCTAAAATTTGATACACATGATGTTCTCAGGGAACAAAAGCAAGGACATGCTTCAGATATTTGAACTCGGTCATTTGCAGATGACAAATAGCTTTAATAATGCCCACAACCACTTAGTATTCATATTATTTTGTGGAACAGTACAAATCAACAAGGGCTGGCAACCAGCCCATTCATCAAGGGCTGACACTCAGTCTCCCAAGCCTGCTTAAAGACCAGTTCTGAGACTACAAGACAAAAGGCTCATGAAATAAAGATATTTTATACAGCTAAAATGGAATATCATTTATTTTAGCTCATGAACAAATAACCGCCTGAACTTTTTATAATGCTTTGAGGCAAATATTAGCCCATAAAAATTAATGTTGATACATTTTTAATCCAGTTGCTCAACCATCCCTTGCACCCAACTATATTGATAAGTAAAAAACAAAAATAAATTTGCTTCATTTAGTTTATTGGAGTCAGATTTCATATGACATGAAAAAGTATAGTTTGTAGAGATTTCATGATGGCATTTAGTCTCTTCACCTGTGGTCAAGATTTCACTTAAACGATTCTAAATGGTTCTCAATATTTTGAAAATTTCATAGAAATTATTCCAATATTTTATAATGCTTTCTGCCATAAAGTTCTATTCTCCCAAATATAATGGTTACATTATCATATAAAAGGCAATATAATATTGCAAAGAATGCAGACTCTGGAGTCAGTCTTCCTGTGTTCAAAAACTGGTCCTACCATTTACTTGCTGTGTAACCTTAGGCAAGTTACTTAACCTCTCTGTGCCTCCCTTCTTTCACCCATTACATTGTAACAGTAGTTCTTACTTCATCAAATTGTTATAAGAGCTAAATAAGTTAATATATTTAAAGACTTTAGAATAGTGGCTGGCACATAGCGTTTATAAGTGCTGCTAGTATTATTATTTCTATTTATTAACACAGTTTCTTTCTTTAGTCAGCTCCAGAAAGTTAGAGTCGCAATCATTGTTATATTAACATATTAACATGTTTATATGTTTATAACAAAGAACAATATTTTTCTACTAGAATAAAGGAGACTTTAAGTCTCCAGGTACAATCTCATAACTGAAGCAACCATTATATAAATGATGAGAGCCACAAGGTAGAACTTAATATATCAAGTTAAAAAAAAAAAAAAAACCGGTTACAAAGCAATGCGCTGTCATTTCTGTTGCAATACATTGTATGGGTCATGTACACACATACACACAGAAGGAAAATGTTATAATATTTAGCAAAGCACAGCTGTGGTTTTCTCCAGTGGTGGGACTAAAAGGGTTCTTATTTTTGCTTATTTTCCAGAAAATATGTATTATTTATTAAAAAGAAATTCATTAGTAAATGAAAGGTTCTATACTGAAGTGTATATTTCTAGGTATTAGAATTGTGAGTGATTTTTATTTTCTTATTTGATTTTCTGTATTTTAAAGATTTCCTGCAATGAACATTTTATCAATATTGTAATCATGACAAGGAGGAAAAAAATCCAGGATGTTTACCTGAATTCAAGGTGCTAGTACAATGATAGAGGTGAGGTGTAAAAGGCATGCTATTTTATGACGGGGAAAGCCACAGATGCAACTATTTTGCAATTACCTTGGCTGTGACCTTTCTTACCTTGTTCTCCATATTCTGTTTTATAACTTCCTGTACCAGTACATCAGCCAGTGTCTTGAAGTCAACTGCAAACTTCTTGTTCTTTTCTTCCTCTTTCTTTTCTTCAATCAACAGCTGGAAGAGGGCCTCCTGCTGCCTGCATGCCCGGGCAATGTTAGCAGCCTTCTCAGAGACACAGAGCAGTTCCCGGAGGATATCTGACATTTCTGAACCTTGCTTTTCAGTTGCAGCTGCTGGTGGAATTGGCACCCACCCTCTGGGCCGTCAGCTGGAAAAATACAAGAATGTGAAAGAGAAAGCAGTTCAGAGAGTGATGTCAGGGTGCCTCTGGCACTACCAACAACCCATCTGGCAGTCAACCTGGTCAGCCTGGTGAACAGCTAGTCTATATCATCTTCACATCCTCAGTGTGGAAGACTCTAGATATAATCTAAAATTTGAAGCTTATTGTTTTAAATCTTGAAAAGAAATTTACACTCTCAAAAATATACCAGAAATTAAATTCTCAGTGACAGAAAAATCTTTGAATGAAAATCTAAATTCCTAGAGAGACAGGCAGATGGACACACAAGCCCAATGCTAAAGGCAAGCCAAATTCTTGTAATGACCTTAGAATGATCACATAGGCTTAGCAGCAGTATTGAAGTAGTACTTTCTTTCACCCTGTGGGAAGAAGGGAGAAGAAATGGATGAGGACTTACGCTGTCAGTTCCAGGGCAACTTTCTTTCTTTTCTTTTTCTTTTTTTTTTTTGAGACGGAGTCTTGCTCTGTCGCCCAGGCTGGAGTGCAGTGGCGCGACCTTGGCTCACTGCAAGCTCCACCTCCGGGGTTCACGCCATTCTCCTGCCTCAGCCTCCCCAGCAGCTGAGACCACAGGTGCCTGCCACCACACCGGGCTAATTCTTTGTATTTTTAGTAGAGATGGGGTTTCACCGTGTTATCCAGGGCAACTTTCTTTTGCTTTTCTTTTCTTTTTTTTTTTTTTTTGAGATGGGAGTCTGGCTGTCACCCAGGCTGGAGTGCAGCGGGGCGATCTCGGCTCAGTCCAAGCTCCACCTCTCGGATTCACACCATTCTCATCCTCAGCCTCCTGAGTAGCTGGGACTACAGGTGCCCACCACCACACCCAGCTAATTTTTTTTGTATTTTTAGTAGAGATGGGGTTTCACCGTGTTAGCCAGGATGGTCTCGATCTCCTGACCTCATGATCCGCCCGCCTGGGCTTCCCAAAGTGCTGGGATTACAGGCGTGAGCCACCATGCCTGGCCTGTCCAGGGCAACTTTCTAAAGTAGTAAGTACCAGACCAGCTAGCACCTTTTTTGTTGTTTTTGAGACAGGGTCTCACTCTGTCACCCAGGCTGGAGTGCAGTGGTGTGAACACAGCTCATTGCAGCCTTGCCCTCCCGGGCTCAAGTCATTTTCCCACCTCAGCCTCCTGAGTAGCTAGGACTACAGGTGCATGCCACCACGCCAGGCTAATTTTTGTATTTTTTGTGGAGATGGAGTTTTACCATGCTGGCCAGGTTAATCTCAAACTCTTGGGCTCAAGTGATCCTCCTACCTCAGCCTCCCAAAGTGCTGGGACTACAGGTATAAGCCACTGCGCCCAGCCTCAGATCAGCAAGCACTGTGTGTCCTGCAAGACCCTGAGGTCATTCTTCTGCTAGTAGCACGAGCCATCTCATTGCCAACTCCCTCACATCCCGTTAAAAAAAAGGCCCACTGTCTATGCTGCTCCTTTACCCAGTAAAAGGTTGAATAATGAGGTGAAACATGCAACTTGTTGACACTTGAAAAGTTCTGGCTTCTAGGAGTGTTGTGCTATCAGACCTTGATTATATCTGTTAGGGATTTCTTGCAATTAGGAGAGAAACAGTTCTTATTTTTAATAGCAGCTACCTCTTACTGAAAAAGCTTGAAAAATTCCTATCTCATGATAATTACTGTGAGTATTATCAACCCTGTTTTACAGTTAAGCTGAAGCATAGCAAGGTTAAGTAACTTCAGGGTTACGGAAGGCTAAACTGCAAGGCTTGGCATTGCTCCTACACACAAGCCCAGGCTCTTTATTATCATAATACAGTTTCCTTCATTAAAAGAAATTCCCTTAATAGGCCAGGTATAGTGGCTTATGCCTGTAATCCCAGCATTTTGGAAGGCCAAGGCAGGTGGATCACTTGAGGTCAGGAGTTCAAGACCAGCCTGGCTAACATGGTGAAACCCCGTCTCTACTAAAAATATAAAAATTAGCCAGGACTGGGCACAGTGGCTCACGCCTATAATCCCAGCACTTTGGGAGGCTGAGGCAGGTGGATCACGAGGTCAGGAGATTGAGACCATCCTGGCCAAAACAGTGAAACTCTACTAAAAAAAATACAAAAATTAGCCAGACATGGTGGCCCACACCTATAGTCTCAGCTACTCGGGAGGCTGAGGAAGAGAATCGCTTGAACCTGGGAGGTGGAGGTTGCATTGAGCCGAGATTGCACCACTGCACTCCAGCCTGGGTGACTGAGCAAGACTCTGTCTCAAAAAAAAAAAAAAAAAAAAAAAATCCCTTAATGGACTCTGGGAGGCTGAGAATTAGTACAACTCTGAAGATGTGGATGCAATGGGAGTAAGATGTAATTTGTAATAGTCTTAAACAATTTTGCTAAAAAATATGTTCTCTCCTTAAGATTATAGGTCAACCACTATGGGAAAATATGTCCAGTCTCAGTAGTAATAAAAATAAAAGGGCACAAAAGCAATGAGATATCCTCTTTCACTACTGCATATGTTTTAAAGTTTATATTCCCTCTTGGAGATGTGGTGAAACAGGTGCAGATGCTCTGCTAATAGGCATGCAAACAAGTTAGGTTTCCAGAGGGCAGTCTGACAAAAATGTGTCAAGATCCCTATAGATGCCACTGCCTTTAGTCAGTAACTCCAGTTTTTCCTCAATTTGTGTTAAGGCAATCAGGGTTGAGTTAAAATATTTCTGCACAAGGAGGATTAATATTACAACAAGTTGAAAATAATCTTAAATATTGGTAAAACAAAATAATATACAGTCGGTAAAATCATGTTTTTGAAGAATATTTAATAATATGGAAATATGCCAATGCACTAATGTTAAGTGGAAAAACTACCTATGACTATATATAATTCGAGAGTATGTTATCTATTTGTATTTATACACATACACAGAGAGAAAGAGCTTGAAAGGAAGATTAGTAGGTGATGTTTTAATGGTCGTTATGACTGAGTAATGGAATTATAGATGATTTTTTAATTATGCTTTTCTATAATTTTCAAATACTCTACAGTAAATATACAGTGCTTTTATAACAATAAATTACATTTTTTAAGTGTTTTGGGGCAATTAAGTATGAAGGTCTAAGAATGTCTCAGCTCCTCGAGGCAAATGTCTAAATAAAACGAGACTGTAGTAATAATGCAAAAAGCTTTCAGGTGATAGAAAGGATCTAGTGAAAACTCAAACAAAAGCACCTGCCCGACTAAATGCCTTTTATTTCAAGAATGAATGCTTTGTAGGAAGACTTACTTTAGTTGACTTGAATCTAAACATTAGGAAAAACAGCTGCATTAATAAAGCTGAGGCACGTTGCCTTAGAAATAATTGATGGTATATATGACATATATATGCCACAAATTATAAGTTACATATAATATACAATCACAAATATACATACATATCTCAGTATAATACATGGCCACAAAAGCATACATTCAGTAACCTTAATTTTTATTTCTTAGTAAATGTTCTGTGGTTACAAGGCAGAAGAATCAATGAATCAACAGTATCAATATAGCTTTTTATCAGCAGCATGAAGATCTCAAGGAGTCCAATTTGAAAGCTTTCAAGATACACAATATCTGCAGTGTTTATTTTATTCAAGTGTTAAAATCAATTTTTTTTTTCTTAAAAGAAACTGTATTAACTACACTGTTGAATAACCAAGAAACACTCCTTATAACACCCTAAGAACGCTCAGGCAAGCTACTCACCCTGGCTACAAGCTCCAGAAATCACCACCACTCCCTTCTCTCACACAGAAAGCTTGTCAATTTAACCCTGGTGAGTTTCAGCACAAGTGCAGCAGTAATCTGGAGTTTGCCCTCTTTGGGCCCAACCTTTATTTCCTCAATAATGACCACTCTCACCTGACCTGAGCAGCTGCTGCTTAGCCAGCACAGCAACTTGACCAATGGGAAAGAACTACTGGCTATTCACTGCAGCCCTGTAATCAACAGGTCTACAGATTTTAGGGATTCCTCATAACACAATAATCAGGTTTTTCAGTTCCAAGGTTATCCCAGAGTTCGCTCTTCGTTTTGGCCCTAGGCAACACTGTCATATTTTGTCAAGTTCCAGGTTGAACTGCCCAGTTTCAGATTGAAACCACTTTCTCCAGCTAAGCTAATGAACCCAGCATTTGTTCAGGGCCTTTCTCCAAGGCCCTGGCTCTCCATATATCCTCAACTCAGTTCACACAGGCAGGCCACAAGCCTGAGGTGAGCATTGCACAATTCATCCTCACCTTGAATGGCTCAACTTGAAATAGTTTGTCTATGGAGAAACTGAAGGCTACATCTAATGCAGAATTTCTTCTTCCATTTTATCAATACATTTTATTAAAACTCGTGGAAATTATCTTTCAGATGATTTTTTAAATTTTTTATTTATTTTTTCAACTTTTATTCTAAGTTCAGGGGTACATGTGCAGGTTTGTCATATAGCTAAACCCATGTCATGGGGTTTGTTGTACAGATTATTTCATCACTAATGGGTACTGATAATAATGGGCTTGATACCTGAGTGATGAAGTAGATGATTTTTTTAAAAGTAAGTTTACATACTCATTATTCACCTAAGACCGTTTTATTTCAACATTATACTTTAAATAAAAATTATTATAGACTTATGATTAGTAAGTTATGGCATTTACCATAATTTAATAGCCTTGACTATAGAATTCCTTTTGATTAGTATTTCTCAATGGATGTTCTGAGAATTACCTGTATCAGAATTACCCAAGATGGCCTTCTAAAAAAACAGATTGCTGGACTCTACCCCAGCTTAGTGAATCAGAATCTCTGGAGACAAGGCCTAGGAATCCATATTTTTGTCAGCATCCTGTATAACTCTAAACACTGAGATTTAATAGCTCCAGTTCTCCAGGTTGCTTATTTTTCTTTACCTCTACACTGGCAATTTTGGTGGCAGCTGGCACCTGCTGGCAGGTATCTTGGTGAAACAGTA